GTAATCCGGATGATATAATCAGATCCCAAAAATGAAGTACTTGTAATTAGATCACATTTTAAAATGCTCAGAATAAGATTACTTTTTTATAGATTACACGATTATATATTATTCACACAATGGCAGTAAATCATTCATCATTTGATTTGCCCTCATTTTTCTTTTCTCTCTCTCTCTCTCCTTTCTAAAACTCTACCGCTTTTATACATTTGGAAAGTCTTCCAGCTTTTCATCAACTCATTTATTCACTCATTCATGAATCTCTGGCATGATGTAATATTTAACACACCTCATGATGCTGACAACAAAGAATGGGATATATTCTAGTAATCGAAAAGTAGTCAGAATACATTTCCTAATATGAGTAATCTAATAAATTACGTTACAAACCGTAACAGACTACAATTTATAGTAATCCACCCAGCACTGTATATATATATATAACTGTTATTATTATTATGACCATGTCTTTTACTACAATTCTCATGTTAGAATATGGTTATTTAAATGGTAAATTTCTACGGTTTTATTACAAATTAAATTTTTCTAAATGTATTTTTTTTTAATATAGTCATTTTTTATTCTGTATATATCCAGTTCTGATTATTTTCTCCTAATCACCACGAGTTTGCACGTTTTCAGACATTTCGTTTAATTCAGAAGTCAAACAGCTTTTCTGTCAGTCATATTAATTACAAAACAAAAATTACCTGGATTAAAAATTTAAAAAAAAAATTAGAAACATGAAATTTTGAGCAACAGAAGTAGCACTATGACTGGGAAAATTAACCGTGGTTTTACTACAGTAACCATAGTTCATAGTATTTGTACCACAAAAGTATGTTTTAAGCATTAGAATTGTAGTAAAAGCCATGGTAGTAAATTATAATAAATCTGTCCCAAAAAAAAACTCACTTTATTTTTCATAAGCAGCATATTGATGTACGGTTCTAGATCACTAGAGTATCTTCTGTAAGGCTAGATTTCTGACTAAAACTGCACATGCTGTCAGGATAAAACAGCATGAATGTGCTGTGTGTGTTCAGTTGCAGCAGTGGGATATGTTCACCACAGTAAAGTCACAGCAAATGAAAAAGGCCGAGCATGACAAGATCCGTTTTTATTACAAAAAGGTTTGTGCATTTGCTGTCGGAACCCAGAGAGCAGCTCAAACGCTCTAAAACTAGCTTCAGACACAGCAAAGCAAGCAGCTCGGAGACTGGAGCGAGTACAGAGGGTTTCTGAGCACGTACAGTGAGGAGCAACTCTACATATTCAGTGCTGCCTATTACAAACATGGCCACGTGTCAAGTTTAAAATGAGAGAATAAAGATGGAAGATAAAACAGATCCAGAATCAATGATGTGATCTTGTGATGCAAGAATTAAAGGCGTGCAGCTTCTGAAACACAGCGTAAGAGATGATTCAAAACACACAGAGCTGCTTTTAGGAGCAGCGTATATTAAAGCCAGCACACCTCCTGCAGCAGGATGATGTCAAGAGCCCCTGACATGATTAGAAAGATATATTAGTTATGAAGGACCAAACTCTAGAAGAGCCGTTGACTGAAGCCCTGTACAACAAGACAACAGCCGCTCACAAGCCTTAGTCTCTCTGTAGTGTTGATTCACAAAATACTCTATATAACATCAATATGACATTCTCTGCTTAGTTTGATTGACAGGGCGCTTGTGCCACAAAAATATTATTAGCAATAGTTCAACCAAAAATGAAAATGTGTTAAAAATGTGCTCATCTGCGATCAGGATGAGTTTGTTTCTTCATCAGGTTTGGAGAAATGTAGCACTGCATCAGTGTCTCAGCAATGGATGCTCTGTAGTGAATGGGTGCCGTCAGAATGAGAGCTGATAAAAACATCACAATAATCCACAGCACTCCAGTCCATCAGTTAACATCTGGAGAAGACAAAAGCTGAAACACATCCAGCATTAAGACGTTTTTAACTCAAATACATAGAGTCCATAATCCATAATAACTCTTCCTCCGGTGAAAAAGTGTTCTGGTGTGAATCAGGAGAGAAATCTGCACAGATCAAGCAGTGTTTAAACAGCTCTGAACTTTAATGCTTTTGTCTTCTCCAGATGTTAACTGATGGACTGGAGTGCTGTGGATTACTGTGATGTTTTTATCAGCTCTCATTCTGACGGCACCCATTCACTGCAGAGCATCCATTGCTGAGACACTGATGCAGTGCTACATTTCTCCAAACCTGATGAAGAAACAAACTCATCCTGATCTCAGAACACATTTTCGTTTAGGGTGAACTATTCCTCTAAACACCTCTGTCTCAGTTTGAGGTGTTTCTCAGTGTTTATAGGCATCAGGGTGTCATGGACAGCATTCAGAAAGAAGGGACGGGGATAAACTGCATCTCAAACCTCTTTCTCTCTCTTTTCATTAGTATTTTTAAAGGCAATTTGGCACAATCATGTTACAAAAGAGAGAAAAAGAGTTTGATCCTAAATCTTTGTATTTCTCATCTTAACACTGTGTATAAATCAATATAATATGTTTATATTACATTAATTTACATGAGTTAAATATCAGATTTCATAAGCAAAACAATTACGATGTATACAAAATCTCTATAAAACAACTACATGCCATCGCACAAACAGGCAAAACAAATCTCAAATATTAAAAAACAGGTTATGTACATTTCCAAATGTCTCGTCTTATTTTCACAAAGGCCAAAACTGTTGAGATTACTTTCCAGCCAAACACACACACACACACACACACTCACTCACACTCTCACACTCTCACACTCTCGCACGCACGCACGCACGCACGCACGCACGCACGCACACTCACACTCACACACTCACTCGCACTCTCGCACGCACGCACGCACACTCACACCCACACTCACACCCCC